CCATTGACTGTTTATGTGAGGGACCCCTGTCACGTCTTTGGACAGAAGTACCCTGTGTAGTCTTAGAAAGGGAAAGTGATACATACTTCTGACAGGTCCATTGCGTGGTTATGGAGGAAATTACACCCAAGGACAATTATGGGAGAGAGTAGCAATAATTCATGAGGTAAATGATAAATTCACAATCTTGGTCAGTTACTGCATAATACCGCTACTGAGGAGCCAAAAGGTGGGATATGCATAGAATCCTCGACATTCGGTACTACCGATCAGGTACTTAGTTGGAGTGTGGCTCATGGAACAGGGGAGCGCAGACTTGAATAAGACAGGCACAATCAAATTAAACCAGATAGAGAGAAGCAACAGGAGGGAGGTCAATATGTAGAGTGCCGTTAGAATCTCGCTACCTAGTGTCGAAGCCAAAGAGGGAGAGAGGAGTAGTGCTCAACTGGCAAGACAACCCCTCAGTTGACCAGTCATTTTGTCCTCTGCGCTGATGACTCGTTTGTGGCACAAACACAATGTGCAGCGATAAGTCTGCTCATTCATCCAACTTCCGCTTCACAGAAATCTGACTCTGTTGCTTGCCGTGCTTTTCTTGCCGCCGACTTGCCTCCCATCTCTGAAAGATTTTGGCTCGATCAATGGCAGTCAAAGATTTCCGGTCAGCCTGTTCTTCACTCGATTCTCGTGTTGAGACTACGTGATTCCCTTCTTCGTTTGCCAGGAGTACTAGAGCTTGATCGAGCGCCCTTAATGCCAATTTCAGTTGATTGATAGCATTTTCAGTGCCCGTACCGGCTAGGTTTGCATTGTCAGTTGCCTTAGCCAAGCCTTTTCGCAACTGAGTGACTTGATGGGATAGCAGGTTCGCTGAGCATGGCAATGGTTTTTGTCTAGGTCTCTCGCTCTCCGTGCCCATTGGCAGAGATATGGAGTACAAAATTAACTATCTGTGAGCAATAAACGGCTCATGAGCTGCACAATTATGCCTTGCCTCATAGCAGTTAAGCAGAGAAAGATGATCAAACAAATAAAAAGATGAGAGCCAATAGCAGGTTCTACCGCACTTATCAAACTCATTGGACTGAGGGGCTCGATAAGCCTGGCAAAACCGAAAAACCGACTACCCTAGTATGTGTTCTTTGGCTGAGGTACAAGGAATGGGTATTTAGGTTGCTCTACGCCGTTTGGCCATGCGTTCCGTAAAGGTATCGTAGCCCGATGTTGGTGCTTGTGTGTTCCATCGGATGGGTCTCGTCCCGAATAGCTCACTTTCGGTGTTTCTTTTCCTTTCGGTACGGGGGAGGGGGGAGGGATTTGTGGCCACGTTGACATCCTCGAGAGTCTGTATAAGAGCCTGAGCATCTGCGGCGAGTTCACGTAAACTGAAAAGGGGGGGATCGCATGAATCTAGCTGTAATTGATGGAGCATTGCCCGTTCAGCTTCATAAAGTAAATGTGGAGAGATTTCTTTTGGGAGCCAGAGTCCATCATGAAGCCAGATCGCTGATGTTACGTGACACCTTCTCGTTAGTTCCTTGTAGTAAGAGATCATAATGTGTTCTTCATACCATTCAAGAGTTCGAAAAGCAGCACCTCTGACATGAGCAGCATATTGTGGCCTCCTTACGGGCAGGTGGTGGTTAACAAGAGCTTGTGTTGCTGATTCAATTTGAAGGCTGAGGTGATATAATGCTGGAGGACATGTGATATGGTGTTCCCTTTCAATTTTAGCACACGCTTCACTTGCCCCTGCATTCATTACAATTAGCGGATGTCGCTTGACCACAGCAAACCGCTGATTCAGCGGTACTAACCCTAGCAGATCAATAAGTATCGCTCTCAGATCTACTATGTGTGGGAGGTGACTGCTGCGAAGGAGTCGTCGCATGATTTCGTAGAAAGCGCCGACCATGTCAACTTCCTGGTGCGTATTTCCAAATAGGAGTAATCTTACCTTTCGTGGCAGTCTTTGAGCACAGGGACCTCTGCCATACAGTCGGCCCAGACAGTCTGTTGCAGAAGCTGTATACTCTACTACTCGGGGTTTCGTGAGATTGGCAGTGCCCGCTAAATAGGCCTCCACCTCTTTGCGGTATTGCTGGTTTGCAGTTTGCATCATAAATTTATTTACCAATTCTATGCTTACAGTCGGGACTTCGGTAAGTAATAGGATCGTAACACCTAACGGCCTCTCTTCCAGTACAATAGCTCCAGATCGCATGGCCAACTGATAGGGCGCTTCAACCACGATTTCGGTAGGCTCGCTTATATGAGCTGGGAAGGCCTGTGCCGCTCGGCTCGCTACTCCAGCAAGATAGTCTGCGAGTATATTGGCTTCTCTTGGGCGGTATACCCATTTTCCATGGTCAAAAAACCTCGATTGTTTCCGGCGAATTTGCTGTATAATAGGCTGTAGGTCAATCCGACGAAAGCGTCCTGCAAAGGCTAAGTGCTTTACGATGGGGAGGATATCCCCTTGTAAGTAGGCCTGGTCAACTGCGTAGCTTCTGTGTACCATTTCTTCACACAAAAGGTCTGTTGCGAGATTAGCTGACACCGCCTCAGCAAAGATATTGTCTGGGCAGCTAGGTAGTGCAATAGCTCTCCACTTAAGCAGCGTTAGTCCTTCTCGCTGGAGTTCTAAGAGAGCAGCGCCCGCCCCACCTGTTCCCTTATCAGCATGACAGGACCCGTCAAATTGTACTAGTAGTGTAGTTTTGTCCGAATTGAGACAGCTACTAAGTACTTCATCGGTGCCTATAGGCTGTAATGCCGTAAGACGGCAATGATAGTCACCACACTCACACTGGAAAGTGGAGAGCGAGACATTTGGGGAAATTCCTGTTCCGACCTGGATGCTTTGCTGAATTAATTGTAGTGGTTCAGAGCCTAAGGGGACAACCGCAACTGTTTGATTGGCTTCCACTGCTTCACGAGTAATGCATACTCGTGCAGGGGCAAGGGCACACGAAATGTGAAGTGGGGGTTTGTCACAGCACGAGAGTAGCGAGTCATCAACAGAACAGTGGGCGGAAACTAACTGTGTCCTTATATGCTGCATACGAAGGTCCAGGGGTAGTTCTGTTTGTACTCTTTGCACGAGGTTATGTATCCAGGTATCCATGGGGGTAAGGGGAGCAGAGATTTGATGTCTCATTGCACCTGATTCCCGTAGTAGCAACCTGAATTGATGAACTACTCGCGATGCTATTGCTAAGTGCTTAGCGCTTTTTCTTGACCCTTCGGCCAGCGACAGTATTGAATTATCTCCTGTCAGGCTTCTTAACGCGCTGATAGGTACTACACACCACCGAATCCAATGTCCTACAGTATTGTCTCCCTTTGAACATGCAATGCATTTTTCCCAGTCTTCACTTGCCGGTAGTTCTTCTTGTGTAGGGAGTACTCTGCGTGATGCCTCAAGCAGTCTGACAAGGGAGTCTGTCGTGAAGGCCGTCAGCTGTTTGGTTACTATACATGTTTCACAAATTGCAGTTTGATAGCCGCCGAGTGGGTATGCACGGCCAAAGTTTGCACAGAGAGCACATTTTTTTTGCCGACTTTGGCCACGTCGTGCTAACCACTCATCATCATCCTCATTGACTGCCCAGCGTAACAAGGTGAACCTAGTAATACTAGGAATCCATCGCTTGTTGGCCTCGCAAGCATGGCTGAGCCATGCCCAGCTGATTCCTCCCGTCCATCCAGCTGTTAGTACCTTATTACGAATATAGTGAGATGCTAGCTGCATCATGTGATGGAGCACACATTTTTTGACTGCGTTTATTCGTTGTTTGATTGTACCACTTCCTGATACTGCTCTTGTTAGGACACCTTCCCCAACGACACGTGCCCACGCTTGCCATAGTATCCTAACTTCGTGTGTTTGTCTGTTCACTGCCAGTGGAGTTTCAATGTAAAGTTCATGAACCTTTCCTCCTTTTCGCAGAAAGTAAGGGTTCTGCTTGCAGATCCCGCTGTTTCTTTAGCCCTGGTGAAGCCTGCGCAACGTACGCGTGTAGTTTACCACTACATGTACGTTAACCAACTGTGATTCTCTGGTGTGTGACGAGTATGTTGCACTTTGTCTTTGATACTTCCTCCTCTCCACTTGAGCGTGCCCCAATTTGAAACAAGCGCAAATCGTGCGAGCGTCCCATCTCTCTTGTTCCTCTTGCGGTCTCCTCTACGCTCTCCTGGATGCGATTCCTTCCTGTAGTCTGAGCGTACACACCGTAACTCGGAACCTGGAGTTTTTAAACACCTTTTTCTGAACATTTCAAAACAGACACTTTCACGTGATCGGTTTTTGTTTCATGTCGTGAAATTCAATGACATGTTTTTTTTGACTCTTGAAGTCAAGGTGATTTTTGGTCGTTTTGTGATGTTCAGATTAATTTGGGCATACTTCATTGTCAATCTCACGATGTTTCATTTTGACTCAAGATGCCCCTTTTTGATCCATTTGACCTGCGGTGATTTGTTCAGCGCATGTTTTCTCGAACATTTGAGAACACTGGCTTCGTGACATTTACTTTGACCAGACGTTTGCCTGCTGCAAATTTACTGGAACTTACTTTTTTCCGGTTCTCCCAAGCTACAGTTCGATCTGCATTGCTTAACTTTCTGACCTGGCCTGAGTGGCTCCATTGGTGTCAAAGCTGTATTTTCAGTTTTATTCACGGCATTTCAGTGCGTGAGGTGGCTACCCCACGCGTGGCTCTGGCCTTTGGCCCACGGTCTGACAGTGGTAGTTCTTTACCTACTTCAAGCAGTGACACAATTGACGAATTTTGATCCAGGGCATGCGCAGGCGATCCACCATTGCTGAACGAGGTGTTGTCGCAGTCAAACCTTTAGTGATCCCTTCTCGCACCATTCATTTTTCATACAGTTGCGGAGTTTTTGCTGCTGGATTCATTTTTGGAGTGTCATGGATTCTATGGCTACTTCTGTGGTAAACACTGGTTTTGAGTCGCCCTCTTCTTCGCTTCATGGCGCGGGGGATTGGACGGAAGCTACAGGTGATGAAGAAGCAGGAGAAAATCTTGACAATTCAAATGGGACCCCAGTGCCTTTACAGGGAATCCCATGGACAGGAGTTGATCAAGGTGAAACTGATGCAACTCAAATTGGGGCTGTTTCAAAACGCAGGAGACAACAGAGTTTTGACCAATTGCCACTTGAAACATCGGCGCTGGATCATTCCCACAAACCTCAGATGGCGTTTGAAGCTATGGTTGATGCAATTGCGACGGAGTGCAACGCTGAGATTAAATTGCGAGGCCGTTTGAATGACCAAATTGCTGATGCTACCCTGAGACTGCAAAGACGAGATAAAATCCAGATGCCTTGGGACAATTTGCCGCACAAGAGAGTTTGGCATTCATTTAGCCTTGAAGGTCAGTTCAAGTTGCCCTTGCTGGGGAGATTTGACAAACTCTCCTCCCAGCCTGTTGACTCAATCATTGAGGCAAAGCAGACGCAGTGGATTTCTGACCAACCTTTTGCAGGGAAGCGGCTCATGGCATCGAGATTTGCTCAATCTGATGATGCTCTTCTTTCAGGAGCTCTATCCAAACTCAGGAACATCATCCTCTTCAACCCAGCGGACTCACAGTTGGGGAGGGCCTTAGTCAGCAAAGCCGGGTCCCTCATTGCTGAGGACGTTCTGCAAAAATCGTTGAGAGACAGCGTAGCTGGCAAAGCGGTGAGCACCATTGTGAAAAGGGTGTCAGATTACAACAAGTTTGCACACTTCCTGGTCACCACTTGCCACAGGAGACCGTTGTGCCCAGATGAGAGTTCTTTTTACCAATATGTATGCCACATGCAACAGTCTGGTTTTGGAGCCACAGCGGGTGCTACTCTGTTGAAAGCCTGGTCATTTTTCAGATACACTTTTGGGGTAGACGCTGAGAACCAAGCGTCTTTGATCTCTGGCCGGGTTCGAGGCGTTGTGAACAGCATGTTTGCCACCAAGAGGAAATTGACCCAGGCGCCACCTATCCCTACAGACTATGTGTACAAGATGGAACTGTACATGAGAACAGGCAAGAGCAGTCAGGTACAAACTGTTGTTGGCTTCATGCTCTTCTGTATATACAGTTGTGCAAGATTTGGAGACGCATCGAGGGCTGACCCAGCATGCTTGCAGTTTCAGCATTCGACTTCATCTGATTTGACCCTGGTGGAGGCGAACCTCAGCGAGTACAAGACAGCCACTGGTGAAAGAAGGGCAATATTGCTGCCCTTAATCGCATTGGGGTGTGGACTGGATGCATTCAGTTGGAGCGCAGAGTGGCGTTTAGCACGGCAGCGCTCAGGAGCCGACGGCATGGCATTTTTGATGTGTGCTGACGATCACAATGGTGAGAAGTGGTTGCCCAGGCGTATGACCACGGCTGAGGGATCGTTCTGGCTGAAGGACATCTTGGTCATGTTAGGCATGAGCGCTGACCGTGCCGCTGCTTACAGTACACACTCACTGAAGGCGACTTGTTTGTCTTGGGCTGCAAAAGCTGGGTCTCTCACTATGCAGGAGAGGTTGTGGCTTGGACACCATGAGTCTGAAGAAAGCCGCATGGCCATAACCTACGCTAGAGATGCGTTGGTGGGGGCCCTCATCAAGTTGAGGATGATCGTGGAATCCATCAAGAGCGGGCTTTTCGATCCAGACTTGTCCAGGGTTGACAGGATTGCGCAAGCGACAGGCCTGACTGTCGACCCAAAGACAATTGCGGAGAAGTCCCAGGTCGAGGAGGAAATGGAAGCTCGACTGAATGCTGATGAGATGGCCAAAGCTGCCCAGCTTGGAGAGTCTGATGTGGAGGACACGGGTGCTGTCGAGGCCAACCCTATAAGCTTGCCTGGCGAGCGTGAGGCCTTGGGCAGGAACCCTTTCCCGCAGGTCGACCTGGCGTGCTGCTTCAAACACAGGTTGTCTGGGATTGTGCACTTGATTTCCGACACTGAAAAGCTTAGCTGTGGAAGAAAGATCACATGCAACCTGGTCCCCATGAAGGGCGACGAAGATGAGCCTGGCCAAATGGAGTTCTGCGAACAATGCAGGGCTGTGATCGGCACTTGAAGCAGTGTGCGGGCCTGAGCCAAAATAATTTTGTCGATGTTGCGGCAGCTGATCTTCAGTCATTTTGATGCATAACCCTGTGACTCATGTTTTTGTTTCTTGTGTGCAATTTTGAATTTCTGGCTGGATTTTTGGTAGCATGTGACTTTCCTATGTTGCCTTGATTTGATTCCAAAATTTTGTTTAAACACAAACGTGAAACTCCGGACTTCACATCTTGATCGTTTGAAAGAAAGCGGCAACCATTTGATTTAGTCGGGTGAAATTTTTGGCCGGCGTGAACCACTTCAATTGACGTACACGTGTGAAAGGCCTTTTGGCTTGAAAGGAAGTGGCAGGCAACGGAGTTTATGCTTAGGACATTCTTTTCGATCACATGTTTTGCAACTCTGATTTTTGAGTTGGTGAAGTCATGGAATTGATCGTTAATTGCAGGTGCATGTCATTTCAACTCATTTCACAACATTTCACCTGTTTCATTTGACAAATCGATCGAGCGTGACGATGGAGTCCAGGGCAAGTTTTTCTGAGCGTGCCAAAGAGGTGGGCATCGAAGAGGCTTTGCTGACCAAACTAGTTGCTGCTGGGCTTGATACTTTCAACAAGTTGGCTTTCATATGTGCTGCCAACCCGACTTCTGGTGATGACTCTAAACTCAAGCAGGCCCTAGAAGAGCTACTTGGCCAAGATGTCACACCCATCAGCATGATTGCCTTTCGTCAGCTGTGGTTTGAGGCCTATACTTTGGCGATGACGGAGTTGGAAGAGCGCGTCAAAAAGACGCCCCTGGACACTCCAAAGTCCCTTCCCTTGGCTGAACGGATGTCTAGAATCCAGCGGCAGAAACAGAAGCTCACAGGGCTGGTGTTGGACCAATTTTTGGAACCGGCCCACAGCCTTACTGACAAAGCCCATGCAATGATCGAGGATGGAGTGCTTGTCCACATTCCTCCTGAAAAATGCCTTTCTAGACATGATGAGATTCAGAATCAAAAAACAGAGCAACAGGTGACTTTTGACTCTCAGGGTAACCTTCGAATTAGCAAGAAGGCGGCCGACATGTCTTGCGACACGACTGGGGAGCTCCGACTTCGACAAGCTCTCACCCGAAAGGCCTTGGCCTTCGATCAGGCAGGGCTTTGCAGCTTTGACAAACTGGAGCAATGGCACACTCAGATGATGCATGCAACGATGCGCACACCACCAAGTGGGCACAAGTTTGTCTCCATGCAACAGGTCTTGAATGCAGATCGAGAGTTGTGGTCCTTGTTGTCTCAGGAATCCAGAGGCACTTTGAGAGTTGGTCCTGGCGAAGACCCACCATTAGACAAGAAGATTGAGGACTTGCGGATTTCACCGCAGATTTTGTGTTTCATGACACCTTTGCCTGCTGGAAACCTTGAGCGTCCCAAACAATTGACAACTCCGCCGACCGGAACGCCACAGCCACCGAAGAGACCGGCCAATGACTCCAACAAGCCGTTCACTCCCAGGGGTGGTGACAAGAACAAGCAGTTCAAGCCGAACTCAGCCGGTGGCAAGACTGTCAAAGATCTCTTGCAAGCTCTTCCTCCGAATTGTCAGTCCAAGACGGACACTGGGAAGTTCATTTGCTTACACTACAACAATGGGACGTGCCGCAAGCAGAAGAATTCTTCTTGCAACATGGGTGTCCACATGTGCTACTATAAAGGTTGCGGCCAAAAACGGCCATACATCGAGTGCAGTCACTGACCAGGAATTGACAAGCTGCCCAAGACATTGTCGCCACAAGGCGTTGCTGTTATGGTGGAAGTTTGCGCGGGAAGTGCAGTCCTGTCAGCCGAAGCGCAAAGACAGGGCTTTCAAGTTTTTCCCATTGACCATTCATACAACAGGTTTCGATCTGCGGCTGCAATTTTGGTTGTTGACTTAGCTAGCCCTGATGCACTGGAGTTTTTGCCCAAGCTTTTTCAGGCTGTACACCCCCAATGGTGTCACATGGGCTTGCCGTGTGGTACTTGCAGTCGAGCTAGGGAAAGACCCGTCAGTTCGGAGCTGCGTGCAGCAGGGGCACCCAATCCACGTCCTTTGAGGACGCCGGATAGGCTTTTTGGAGTTGAAGGCCTCACTACATATGAGGAGGCCCGGGTTCAAGCGGCCAATGCAGTTTACGCCACAGCCGAATTTTTGATGTATCACTGCTTTTTGTTGCAAATTTTCATTTCGCTTGAGAATCCAGAGCGATCTTGGCTTTGGGCCATCCTGACAGTGCTGGTCAAACGACGGCCAGACGAGGCTTATCAAAGATGGTTTTTCGGCCTAATTGACGTTTCTTTTGATGCTTGCATGCATGGAGCTAAATATCCGAAGGCTACGAGATTGAAGTCTTCTCCCAAGCTTTTTGAACCTTTGGCGGTCAAATGTGACGGCTCCCACACCCACGCCACTTGGGGTGTGAGGAAAACACACGGATCATGGAAGTTTGACACTGCTGATGAAGCTGTCTACCCACAGTTGCTGGTTCAGAGGATGGTTCAATGCGTTGTGCGCCAACTGCCACCAGAGCTTTTACAACGCACTTGGAAACAATTTCGTTTGGATGTGTTGCAACAGACTGGAGTGCAACACAAACAGCACCTCTCCTTGATACCAGAGTATGCCTCAATTGAATGGCTTCCGGAAATACCACAAGCACCTCCTTGCAAAGTCCTACAAACACCTTGGCCTGCGGGGGAAATGAACGAAGGTGACAATGCTGAAAATGACCTGCTGTTCAAGATTGGTTTTTATTTTTCACCTGGGGAACATTTTCAACGGGCGTTGAGGCTCGAACATCCTGCGTCCCAATTTCACCTTGTCCCTGACGGCCTCAGGATGAATATTTTCCTCTTGTGCACCGAAGGACCTCATGCTGTGGCCAAGCGGCGCATTTCATATTTGCAACACATGCTGGATTTGAAAAAGGGTTTGTTGGAAGAGGAGCGAGCACTGAGAAAGACCCTCCCTCGGCATGTGAACGAGGTGACAGCTGGCAAGCCTTTGAAGCTGTTCAGGCGTCTCCTTGAGGAGACCAACTTTCCGGACATGCATGTCTGTGACATCATGGAACAAGGGGCTCCTCTCACGGGGGTGGAACCTGAATCACCCCTGTACTTGAAAAAACACAGGCCAGCTCAGGTTACAACCCAGCAACTCGACCATCAAGCCAGAGGGAGACGTCGTGCCATGACTGGCAGGGCTATGACTGATGAAGAGAGAGCACAAGAGCACGACTTGGAAACTGAGAGCCTAAGTGAGGTCGAGGCGGGGTTCCTACAAGGCCCTCATTCTGAGGGTGACATTTCTGGCATTGTGGGTTCCGAAGAATGGAGCCTATCAAAGAGGTTTGCACTGTATCAGGGTGAAGAGAGAAAGATCCGAATCATCGACAACTACCGTGACAGTGGCGTCAACGCTGCTTTTGCTTCATCCTCATACATTGCGCTGCAGGACACTGATTTTGTGATAGGATTTTTGAGGTTCTTCATGTGGGTGGCTTGCAACAAGGATGGTGTGGTTGTGCCCCTTTCGGACGGCACTGTCTTGCGTGGGGAGTGGCACGCCTCAATGACTGGCGAACCTGCTTTGCTTGGGCGCTGCGTGGACTTGAGCAAAGCCTACCGTCAGGTAGCGATCGCAGAAGAGTCGCTCAGACATGGAGTTCTGGGTTACCAAACCAGTCGTCATGGTTGGCGCTATTACACTACTCAATCATTGCCCTTTGGTGCCAGCGCTTCTGTATTTGCTTTCAACAAAATTTCCAGAGCCATTTGGCATCTTTTGGTGCATGGCATGCATGTGCTGACAAGCGTCTTCTATGATGATTTTCCTTGTTTCGAGATACAAACCCTGACGCAACTCACTGCCAAAGCGCTGGATCAGTTTTTCAACATTCTTGGCTGGAGGCATGCAGTCACTGGTAAGAAGGCTACAGAGTTTGGGCCGCAGATGCAGGCGTTGGGGGTGCAGTATGACTTGGAAGGTTTGTGGAAAGGCCGACTTGTTGTCCAGAACAAACCAGGTCGCAAAGAGCGCATCCTGCAGCTTGTGCAGGAGCTGCGCGACTCGACCAAGTTGCGACGAGCAGCGGCTGCGTCTTTGGCAGGCCTCTTGAATTTTTGTGGAGGATTTGTTTTGGGGCACTCTTTGAAGCCGGCGACCCATGCTCTGACCAAATGGATGTATGGCGAGAACCCCTCTTCTGGCGCCACGGCTGAGCTTTGCGATTTGATCTGTTTTCTGATAGAGGCTGCGAAGCCCAGGGTTGTGACAGTGGAGCAAGATACTAAACCGGTGATTGTCTACACCGATGGTGCCTTTGAAGGTCGCATTGGGTCATGGGGAGCCTTGGTAATTGACAATCAGACTGGACAAAGGCATGTCTTCCACGGAACTGTGCCGGACCGACTTCTCGAGCACTGGTTGCAGCACGTGGGCGAACAGGTGATTTGCGAAGTGGAGATGTACGCCTACGTATGTGTACGATGGGCTTGCCGCAAGCAGTGGGCTGCAAGATGTGGTTTGTGCTTCATTGACAATGAGGCGTGTAGGATGTCTTTGATCAAACGTAGCAGCCCTTCTACTGCCATGTTTCTGTTGGTTTGCTTGATTTCAATCATCGACACTCAGACTCCCTTTTCTGCTTGGATGGAGCGGGTCCCATCGCCGGCCAATCCGGCTGACTTACCTTCTCGTTACAAAGCCGACGAGCTTTGCGAGATGCTTGGTGCGGTCGATCTTGGAGATATACAACTTCCAGCCTCTTTGCTCAGTTTTCTCATGAGCAGCAGGTTTGATCCCAAACTGGCCGAGGTGATAAGGTTTGAAGCAGAGGACTAATTCTTGGTTGGCTGAAATAAGCATGGGGAGAAAAACGAGCCAACGTGATTTGGTGTTGGTCTGAACCGAAAAGATTTCCAACTGAACTTGCTCCCATGACATGCGGGGAGCAACTACTTTGGATTGAGCTGTGAATTTGA